CAAATCCGTGAGTGATGAGGTTCAGAAAGTTTCATCCCTTGGATTTACATGTTTGTTTCCCTTGGTATACTGAATCTATTTTCAACATGAGCATGGTGATTTTTTAGTCAACTAGGTGCATCAGACTTTGCAATTTTAACCTATAGAATGAGTTCCAAGACATAAAATGTTGAATGACTGAATGAAAGCAAAATGATGCACTTACTTTATATTTGTAAATAGTTCCCTTGTATATAACCACACGTGTTTTATTGTGCATATTGCCTCAGGGAAAGGCCCGTAGAGGACCGAGTAGTTAGCACATTAAAGACGATCATGTTGGAAAGTAATAATCCTAATGAACATAGATAAGCAACTCGATGTTAACTTTAGGACGCGATATCGTGCTACTTTTTTGAATAGAGACAAAGGGGCAATGACAATGTATGAAGCAATAAAACATTGATTTACAATGTACAACATCCAGTTTTTGTCATCCTTAACTCAACATTTTTTACGATTGAGACTGGGCGTCTAGTATGCTCAAGAACTTGATATTGATGTCATTGTTCGCAGATATTAACTTCTATTGTAAAGAATACCTGAAAAGCATTACTTAGGGATGTGTAATATGAATTCATCAAATGTCGTGGATGTTATTCAGGTGCTTACTAGTTAGTTTGTGTTAAAAAAACTGTGTGATGAATGATTAAGTTTGAATAAACTCCTTTGATTTTTGACTTTGTTGTATTAAATGTACGATAATTAAGTCCGCAAAATTAGTAATTCTGTCTTGGACGTCTTGATTGGTTTTACTGGACAAACTCTATTTGAATGCATCCAGTCTCACATTCTACACAGATCACGAGAGAATACACCGTTCTAAGTATCAATTGCAACTACCGTCCAGCTTCGACCAAATGCTACTCAATATATCGACAAAATTGACATAATGTCTACGAAATCATTCAAACCTGGTTTCCGTTTTGATTGGGTTGACGTCCTCCAATCAAAACAGTGTTGCACACTCAAGCGTCATCAAACCTGAAATATCTGTCATCCTAACCAGAGACTGGCTAAGTGATATGTCAGATCGTTGCTAATTTTTATGTCGTAATCACTTATTACTCATACATGTAAAAAGAAGGAAACACTGCGATCCCCACGACGCGAAGTAAGAACACCAATACTTAAGCAAATGAAGACTTATTAAATCTAAAACATGACGACAACCCCAGTAGAAAATACGCTTATTTATATGTTGACTGTACACGTATTTTGATTATTAATTAAAATGAAATCACACACATGAAAAATAATAAGTTATCCAGATCATATGCTGAATGTCATGCTGAACATAGTTCATGTTGATTTAATACAAGAACATCGTGACTTGAACAAACACTACACTCAAATAGAATAATGTCATACCGAATAAAGTACCACATTGGACAAATTGTTGTCAAAAACTAAGTCCCAAACACGCAATATGGTTCCAGAGTTTGAATACTTCCTACAGAATAGTAGGGGGAATTAAATGTCTTTGGTCCATGAACAGTTTCGGCGTTAGACGAGGGATCGATAAGGTAAGACAGTCTACTCAGCCTCATCGGTTTCAGTGACAAACAATGAGTTTCAGTCTGTTGCACTTCATGGACGGGATCATGGAAACGTGCTTCATCTTTATTTTTCTCTATCCTGTTCTTACTAACATATGCTGTTGCCTATAATTAGCATTTATTCTATACGACCCACTTTTAAGCGCGACCAGACTGGCAACGTTAGGTATTAACTGAGGAGTGTGACATCGATGTAAGATATCAGGTCATATTATTTTCATCCAACTCCAACAGATCGATCACTCATAAATGTCACCAGTATTTGTGACTTGTAGGATAATGATGGCGAAAAACTAGGAAAGTGAGTTATCAACAGTAATAATATCAGATTTCCTGATATTGCTTGACATTGCTCTACTGTGCCTTTAAAATTCAGGCTACCACTATAGTTGTGCATGTTTGATATGCTTCCCAAAATATTTTTATACGAAGTATTTAAATGGCTCGTTTTCAGTTGACTGGAAGTGGAATGGATAACTGCCTAGCTGGAAAATCAAAATGGCATTGTTGCTGTAAAACAGGCTTTAATGAATGCAAATTTACACAAGTAAGGAAGCTGGGACAGTCGGCCAAAACACCAATATATTTAGTTGATTGTAATCATTGCTATGGTAATGTGATCAAAACCATGTTAAGCAAGTCAGTCATACTAAAGTAAGGAGGAATTTGTTCGTTCTCGACAAAGAATAACATAATATTACTCTTTACTATCTGTTAGTCATGTACTGCTACTGAAAATACAGAATCTTTGGTAATTGGGTTTACTACCACGTCTAGGAACGCATTTTCCCATACCTTAGGCCTTTAGTAAGCATCGAAGAAATGACGAAATAGTCGTCGTGATTACAGCAACCCTTATAGTATGCAGATTTTATTCGAATTAGATGGTAACTATATTAAATGTTACCCCAGCCTCCTAAATACTGTGAGTGGGTCGAAATGTTAGTTTTTCGCGAGGGTAAATGAGGGTGAGGCGGTGTTAGAATTTTTGTTTGTTCGTTGAAGTTGTAATTTAATAACCTAGCTCAAATCCATCCACTTTGTTTGGTATGTTTACGTTGCCTACCAATGACCAGTGTACACATATACCGTGGTTGGAGCAAGCAACGGCAAGTGCACAATAATGGCGAGTAATATATTTTATTATTGTCAACAATTTCAGGACTTTTGGTCGTAACTTGTTCGTCAAAGCAAACTGTAGCTGCATAATCCATAAGTCTTACGTGGAAGTCACATCATTGTCTACACTGACTCATAGCATCGTACCAATACATGACGGAAAACAAATTCAGGCTGGGCTAGAGATAGAACAATATATTTAATATGAGTAGAAGCAAGTTGTACAGACCTACCACGACTGCAAGGCCGAGCCATGCCGTCCGATCAATTCTAATTAATTTAATTCATTCTTCCTGCCTTCATCGTCGGGCTTTTCTCCGTGTTAAATGTTGAATATCTATTTCCCATATTGTCTCGTATTCAGCTTAAAGGATTATGTAGTTAGGGCCTAATCCCATTACGAAGGAATCTAGGCTGCCTGATTATATTACAAACGGCAATTCAAAAATATTCTTCTACATGGTCTTAATTTTAATAGTAGGCTCCGGAGTTTTGATTTGAAATTGGTTTGACCGAGAACTACCTTATAGTTTAAATATCGTACTAGTGCAGTGTGATGGTACCCAAATCTGTCAATTAATACGACAGATCAATTCATAAAACTAAATACGCACAGCAATGACGACGATGGGTTTAGTGAAAATTTTTAAAGACGGTTCTACTAATTATTAAATTCGAATGACAGAGAAGATATATTACAACGCATGTGTAAGCCTGGTTAATGTGTAGGTTGATGCGGTATATGAAAATTTAAAAAAATTTAAAAGATGTGTAGGAAGTAATTTGTCTACAGGTGTAACTCTAAGTTATTTTGTAGACTGTCGAACACAGAGTCTTGGTTTAGCCATAGTCAGAACAAGTAAGCTATATGGCTTGATAAACTTTATCTGTTTCTGGAACATAAATTAACACCGTTAGTATACAAAACAAACAGTACAGTCTGTTAACACAGGGAAAAACAGAGACATAAGTAACAAACCGAACAGTAACTAGAGGATGAGAAAAATGGGTCAACAAGGCGAATATTGTTTTATAATGAACATAAAATTGTGATTGGCGAATAAACAAGACAGTCATACAGGGTCAAAGAAAGTTAATGTGATGATGGCAGTTTCACATTATCATTAATGGGTTCGTTTATCGATCACACTTTACACTTTCCCCGAAACGCACACCACGTTTATCGTCCTAGGTCGTCTTCACCGTCAGATAACCGGCTTTCAAAAGTATAGTTTTCGTACATCCCGAACGATTCCTTTGTTCGCTGTTCTCAACTTTGCTATACGAACACGTCCATCAGGGTCATGGCTTACGTGTTCGACAATGGCTTTAGGCCATAGATTTCTCGGTGAGCCAATATTGTTTACCAGAGGATAAGTTTGAACAATTGTATTCAACTGAATTCAAAGACCCATTTAGTCGTACTCCATCGATGTCTGTGGAAGATCGTATAGTATTCAGCTCTTTATCAAATTCAGTGCAAAGGTTAAATCGGCATTATCAAATAGCTCTGCCTTGGAGGCACTAACACAAGTCACCTTATAATAAGAAATTAACAGAACGTAGACTCAGCTGTTTGAAAGGTCGACTTATTCGGGATACGAAGTTTCTCCAAGACTATGTGAACGCCATGACTCGGCATATAAAACGAGATTATGACGAAAAAGTAAACAATATCAACTTTGATGAACGAATTTCGTATCTTCCCTATCATACTGTCTTCCATCCCAAGAAGCCTAACAAGTTAGGAATAGTGTTCGGTTGTACAGGTCAGTATGCTGATTTAGTCAACAACTTAGTAAATGTTTTCACCGGGTTCCGGCGACGACCAATAGGTCTATGTCAATTGCCTAAATACCTGGTAAGTTTGGAAGTTGATTCTAAGTGAATTTATTAATTTAGCAAGGCTTTTTTGATGATAGATTGTGAAACCGAAGATGTCTTGATGCAGAATGTTGCATATGTGGCAGAATGGTAGTTCTTGGGAACATTTAATTCAAGTCGGAACAGTGTATCGTACTTTTAAGTAAAATCTGTTCCTTCTCCTAGTTATAACTTGACCAAATGGTCATATTAGAAGGCTTGAACACACCATCCTGATTTGCATTTGGGAGAATGTAGAACCTATCAGATGATTCGTCAAACATTTAGTGTCTACAATCAAACGTAAGGCCTTATTAGCGTAAAAAAGACGTTGTCAGATTCAGGAAGCACGTGAAATCATGTAAAATAGTTAACTTATAAATTTAATTTCGAATGGTGACCTTCACGTCCAAAAAACTTCAAGGACAAGTTAAGCGCGAAAGTTGTTACACGTCATTTTCAGTTTCCACGATGTTGTTCTCACTAGTTTTTCTTTCTCTGTGCTTTTGTTTCTGTGAAGGTATGATTATCAAGTTCGTTCAGTTCTAACTGGTTTAGCCAAATCAAATCGCATATTGCTTCGAGATGTAGATGTCATAACCTTATATCATGATAAATTTGCCCAGTCAAGAAAAGGTTATAGATTACCCCAGGTAAGCTATTGTGGTTCATGGATATTTTTTCAGCTTAAATGTATTGGTGGGAGTGGTTTCAAACATCCCCAGTATTATCCCAAGGTTGTCCAGTGTTATAATCGTGGATTCGATGGTCGTGATGTCCAATGGGAATGCAAAGCTGAACTAGATAAGAGTGTCTCCTTTGGGGCCGTGAACGTTAACTGTGAAGGCTATGACTACCCAGAGGACGAGTATATTGTTTATGGCTCGTGCGCTGTAAGTATTTTAATGCTTCTGTCCCCATATGAAATGTACTCTCACCTACTTTATCTAACTACAGGCTCGGGAAAACATTTTTTCAGCGCAAAATAACGCTTTTTTCAGTTTTTGGTTTGTTAAATGGCTTCAAGACATTCACAGTAATCGTTCAAGATTCTGCTACACAGTCCTATTCTATAAGATGCATAGTTGAAGTGTTAGTGGCGAGACTCTAATTTATGGACGAGCCAATCAAAGTCGTTCTAGAGATTTCTAGGTAACAGCGTCAACTTCAGTGCTTAATGCTAACGTACGATCGGTTCACAGGGAATTTTCTACAAAACGTGATAATTCAGCGGATATTATAAGTAAAACAGTGAGACTATAACTTGTGGACGAATCAATCAGGTATAAGATAATAGGTCTGGAATTTTAACACAAAAGCCTTTTATCCATTTGGCTAAATAAATTTTTGGCATTATAGCTGATGTCATTTCGTGATGAAAACCCTTTATATAATTCCTAACTAAGGCAAATTACGACAATTATTGCGAACTGGATAATAAAAGCATTAGTAACATTGGCTGCAGCCAGGTACTACAATACGGATGTTTGGAGAGCGTACAGACTACTATATAGGCCTGGTTATGTTCATCGTGTCGTTATCCACAAATAGTATTTTGTGCACTCAACAACTGGAGTGCACATAAACAATATTGAAGATATGTGGTCGAGACTGAAAAAGTTTTCGAGACTTTATCATGGCTCCAAAGGCCGACTATTCTGTAGCAATATGGATGATTTTCTCTACTGCATGCATTACGACTTTAGAACCTCTGAACCTCTTTCTAACCTTGACAAGTTTTTGAACCACGTATAAGAAGTGTATCCACTATATTTCATTGGTTTCATATGATATATTTTTACTTTTTACTGACTGTGTGCTGATTGGCTAATATTTGTCAAGGTGACTTAAGATCCGTTCAAAGGTCGTCCATAAATTAGAGTCTCGCCGTGTTAGCTTGTCCTTCGATTGAGTGTGTATTGATACTCATTTCTACAAAATGTGTGGTAAAGTGAATCCAAACTTGTATGTTGCTCTCACCAGGTTTCTGTTCCATTTGTGCGATATGTAGATTAATATTCAGATAACTTAGATTACAATCGGTATGGGAGTCGGTGGTTATGTAAGCCATAAATTTCATTTGCTTATTTATTAGGTGGTCATTTAGATGGATAACGTTAACTTTTTAAAAATTATTTTTGAAAATATAACACAATTTGTCGAGTTTGGTACATGTTCAATGTTCGACTTCCTTGTATTGATACGACGCTCCGATTATTAGTAGGATTAGTCAATGAAAACTCAACCGAATTACATTTCTTATCAGTTAGTGGTTTAGATGACTTAACTTGCTCAATCTGAAAAGTTTATGGATTACCTAAGTTAAGCTGTAATGTTTCGTGTATATTTAGCAATGATATGTCAGGGGGGAATGAGTTAGACTGTTTGATATTTGCTTATCTTCAGTGCATTCAAGTAAGTTGGGGAACTCATCTAAATAATCGACTACCATATGAACATGCATGGTAAATCATCAGTTGGGGTTAGTTTAGATTAAAGAGAGTTAAGGTTTATTTAGTCTGTTAAGTCTTTTGGAGATTTAAGATGTGAAATCTGTCTTCAAATGGTAAGAATCACTTCGCTTCTCAGAATCTTAGCTACTTAATCTAAATCTACTTGGTATTATATAAATGGTGTTATTTACGCTTTTACCCTCATAAATTATATTTTAGAATTACATTGAGTGATTCACTAAATGGACTAGTTCTACTTTTGTACTTTTGACTACATTAGTTTATTGTATTAATTCGGAATGAGATAATTTATTTGAATGCATCCACATGGCTATCAGGAAGACAGTGTTTATGTGTAAATTTATGGTAAGAATCAGTCATATGTTCTATTAACCATCATAGTTTAATCCCCCGAAAGCCGTGATACGGGCGAAAGTAAGGAGAGTCAGCTTTATCTTGAAATGCTCTCAAGTGGCCACATGCATACAACCACTGCCAAAGAAGTCCTACTCACTGCCTTCGCGCACCACGGGTGTTGTTTACTAAATTGAGAGGACGACAAGCGAATGTTCGGCGCTTTAACTGGGTTGACGGATATTGAGGATCCACCTAGGGGAGTTGGGAAACACTGATTTCAAACCAGTGGCACACATGAGTTCCAGGGTCCTGAGGGAACGAATGGCATACGGACCAATTATTAGTCATCGGCTACAATGGGACTGAATTTCCTTACGTTGTTCAACTGCCTTGTGGATTAGACCTTTAGGTGAAAGGCTCAAGGTTTGGCCCCCTAAGAAAACCATGTGGTTCGGTTTGGGCACGCGGGCAGTATCTCAGCTCTCACACAAATCGACTAATTTATGTGGCGCATATCTATTTGATGCCTCCTTTTACCTATGTTTTTGTATTTGAATAAAAAATAATAAATTAACCATCATGCTCCGTATTTGCGACGCCTTGAACAGATAAACTACATCTTTGTTATAAGAGTTATGGAGAACAAAATGGCCTTATCAGAAACCGTCTATTTCGTATTAAAATCCTTTGCAAATAAAGTTCAACTATATATACCCAAATTTAAGTCTTTCTAATTTCTTTTAAAAGCTGGAATACGAATTAAATGTACGAGGTTCTACTCGGGAGAAAATAAATCACAGGTATGTATCATTAATAAGTTTAGAATTGATAATTTCAAACAAATCGAACATTGTTGGGATGTTAGTGATAAAATACTGACGTATTTGTGATATTACAATAAGTAGAAATTAAAATTTGTGACGTTTCGTAATGCAATGTATGCCTCTTCTTCAGAGTAAATAAATACATATGTAAATTGGATAGGAGCATAATTTTAAATAGTGCAAAGCAGTAATTCGTTAGAAAGGGATGCCTTGGCTGAAACTTGTTTCTAATGTTCATATAGGAATTGTATGTTCTTCATATTACCAATTTCACGTTTTATACACCCATTAACACATGTCATAGTATACACGGTTATGTCACAGAATAACTTGATCTAAAAATGATATAGCATAGACGTAATCAAGTATTCTGTCTTGTTGCTCTACACCATTTAAAATTATGTCTCCATTTAATCTGGTTATTTACTTATTTACTCTGAAAAAGTGGCTTATACTAAGTCATGAAATATCTGAAATTCGAATCCCTATTTATTGTCTTCACAAACTGTTATATCCCAATACGAATAATGAATGGTAACTTCTGGGATCCATTTATGGGCCAATACTATGCGTATAATTTTATCGTATAATTGTTCAATAACTAAACTATTCATATTCCTCTTATTATAAGCTTTATTTTGACTTATGAACTGTTATTTACGACTTACCATTCTTAAATTATGCCCTGTCTATCAATTACTATCTCCTTTATTCACAGCCACGTTTTGGTTAAATCTTGTACAAATGTTGTTTTCTATTTTATGGTACGATGTGGTCCGCCTGGTTGGTAATATAAATACAGTATATTTGAAACATATGATTCATATCGCAGAGGCTGAAATTAGTGCTCTGGACTTAACTGGCTGGGCTAGGCAGAGAGCAGGAACGATAAGGACTCTAGGTTGCTCGCAAGTGTTTTATGCGTCACTGGTCCGATCGATAATTCACTGTCCTCTAAATAGTGATATCATTACGTTATACATTAACAGGGCACACAGGCCAAAAGTTATAACACAAACGTATCATTATTTTATGTTGTAAAGGTAAATTATGGTATATCTATTTTCCACTAACGGTGTGTTTGCCTTTTTGTACTGTTTATCAATAAAATCAGTAGCCAGTATTATGAATAAGTATTTACCAGATATCACCATTGATTCAACTTGGAATAATTCAGTCCTTTTATTAGAAACTGATGTCTACTTGACTTTTATTTACAATGACTTTTTAAGACCGTTTGACATTACCATTCCCAACCTTCTCATCTTGTAAATTTCATATTTTACTGTTCTAATGTAACATGTGTAAGCGTTCATCGTAGGTTTTACTTTAATTATAACTGTTTCCTCTGATCAAATTAAGTGAAACAGGGTGCAAACCTGTGATCTTAGCAGTCTAAAAGAGAGTGCTATAACCATTGTTCCAACCATGCTACGTTGGTTTAAAGGTATTGGTAAAACACTTATTTTTAGTTCATCATGACTTAAGTTCGCTACGTTAACGTCTTTTATTTTGAATAATTGAATATGCTCTGTTCATGTACACGTTAAATGATCTGTTAAATAAATCCACAGGGGCCACGGTACAAACTGTTTTGGTGAGACATGTTCAAAACTCAGAGGATATGAAATATTAAGGACTGTTTATGTCATTAACATACTTAAAAATAAAACGGTTCTTCTCAAATAGGTTAAGCACAAAGGTCAGCACAAAGCCAAGGTGTTGATCAATTTAGTGTGCTAATGAAATCACTAAACATATGAAGTTTCTTTTTCTTTCCTATCACTGATTTCAATGTTCAAATGATGGCTATTGAACTGAATTTGCGAAAATCATTTGTACACATTATTCTAGCGAAATGTGAAACGATGAGGCTATCAAAAATTGTGCTTTCTGAAGACATTTTATTATGCTTAGAGAAATGGAAACGAATATGCTGCAAGTTTATTATCAGAGATGGAGAGTATTTTGTTAGGTATAAGAATAATGTGCCTTAAATATTATGCAACAACGCCTTTATTACCACGGTTCGCGTATTTATTGGACATACCATTACTAAATCAGTCTGAACAGTTATCATTTTCCTGCGTTACACTAGTGTCTTTTTCCAATTATTGTTTTACAGCTAATTAGGTGTTGTTATTATTCATCTTCAACTGTTTTTTAATCTTCGTTCTACTATGCATTGTGATCTAAAATGTTAGTTTGAAGTCACTAATTTCTAGTCTGAGCCATGTTGGTAGATGCAGACTTGTTGGTTGGGGTCCGCGTGACTATCATAACCAATAGTTGGAGACTCTGGGTGACATAGCTCAGAATCGATCACAATGGCGTCGGTGTATACACTCTTTGTCTTCACTTAATCCGTGATATTAAAATTACTTTATTCCATTCTTCCTACGTACTAATTTTTCTCCTTGTAATATGTCCCTGTATGCAGTCTTTCTTTTATAGATTAGTACGATTGAAGTATCTACTTCTATGAATTTGGAGTTCATCTTGTGCTATTGAGGTGTGAAACCTTGAACCGATGCATAAATATGCCTGGTCCTACGTTGTAGCTGACTGATTGTTCACTATATATATTCGGAAAATTGATCGCTCGTGAAGTAGTTTACTATATATATAGTAAACCGTTGTCTTTTTTCAAACACTTAAATAAATAAATAGATTGAGTGTTATCAGTTTCTGCAATTATTTAGACATACTAAGTGATAACGGGAAGATATGAGCCTTCAAGTTATTAGAATCAAATTTATTTATTTTAACACATAGATATTGGTACAAGGAGGCACCAAATACATATACGCCACACAAATCTCATTCGATATGTGTTAGGGCTGTGATACTACCCGGGTGCCCAAACCAAATCAGGTGTTTTTCTTAGGGGGCCACTCCCCGAGCCTTCGACCTGAAGGTCTGACCCACAAGGCAGTGGAGCATCGTAATGAGATGCACTCCCATGGAAGCGAGTGACCAACAATAGGTTCATACGCCATTTGTTCCTGCAGGATACTTGAGCCCATGTGCACCATCAGTTTGGGATCCGGTTAAAGCGCCGGACATTCGCTTTCCGTCCTCTCATTTTCGTAAACAACACCCGTGGTGCGAGAAGGCAGTGAGTAGGACTTCCCTGGCAGAGGCTATATACGCGTGGCCATGTGAGAGCATTTGGAGAGGGAGAGCGGACTCTCCCCACTCTCGACCGTACCAGGGCATTTGAGAATTAGAATTAAAACTGATTACTGAATACTAGTAAGTAGTATAGTGTGGTATATAAAAATAACTTGGGAATGAAGCGAATACATAAACACACTTTCACACACCCAAGTCAGTCATAATACTTATGCTTACACTTATTTCCTCTCATTATACATTTAGGGTTTTCTTTGTTTATCTATTTTAGAACATTTGAAAAGGTGTATACACATGCACAAAATAACTCTGGCTACTTCATAATTATTGGATTGATTGTATTAGCTGCTATAATATGGTATTTTTGTATTAGGTAATGAATTGTTAATTCTTTTTAATATTGATGGTTTAATAGCCCGATTTGTGTGTTTATTCTTGTAAAATATTGTATTGTGATTATAGTTATTAAACGATATAGATTTGACTTGATAAATTGAACATGGTCTGGCGAAACTTCATAGTCTGTTAAAATGAAGACACGATATCAGTTCATAAATTCATCAAATGTTGAATTAAATAGTGTCAGTGGGTACAGAATTCCTGGTTGGAGTCAACGAGGTCATATTGTTCAACTGGTTTAAAACGTCGAGCGACTTGACTCAGAATCGATCTGAATAGTTCCACTCCTGAGTTTTACAGTTAACAGATATATTATATTCCGTGAATCAACTCCTTGAATCATATCGTCAATGCCTAGAATTTCACTACAAATACTACTCCTACTTCTGCCATTTTAGTATTCATCTTGTGTGACAACTTGAACTGATGCAGGTCCATATATGGTACAGGTCCTACCCTTGACTGATTTATTCCTTAGGTATATTGATATATCTATTTCTACTTGTGCTTGAACCCTCTATGTAATGTTTGCTGACGTATGGCAAAGAGTATTGTTGTGTTTGTGTGCTATCCAAAATGATTCTTATCTCAGTAACGAAAATAATACTACTGTTTTGTTATACAATTATCTGAGTATACTACACTTCCTATATGCTTGTCCAAACCAGCTACTTCGGTGAAAATAACCATGGATGAATAGGATTATTTTATTGTCTAACCAAATTAAGAATGTATGTTCAAATAATTCATAAATATGTACCTTTTTATTATAATTTTTATTATTTCGACCCAGCTATTCTTATTGGTTAGTAGTCGTAGACACTACTCCACTCGACATAAAATGAAAGTCCAACGCCTTAACTGGATTGATGGACATGGAGGGTCCACCTAGGGGAGTTGATAAAACCTGAATCCCAACCAATGATTCATATGGGCTCCAGTATCCCGAGCGTAAAAATGGAGTATGAACCCATTGTTAGTCACCGGCTTCCATGGGACTGCATCTGTTAAAACTGTTCTATTGCCTTATGGATTAGGTGAAAGGCTTGGAGTGTGGCCCCCTAGGAAAACCACCTGGCTCTGTTTGGACACACAGGTCGATGATAACTAGTCATTGTTATTGTGTAGCACATGCGTATTTGGTGCCTCATTGTACCAGTGTTTATGTGTTCAAATAAATAAATAAATGATTACATTATATAATATGAATGACAATGAAAGTTCGGATACATTGAGTTATATTGTCAATAAAGATTTATTCTAGTCATACTGTTTCTTCTTTTCTGTTTTCACTGTACATGATATCATTAGACCTTCTACATTTCCATGCGAGTATATTCCATCAACTGGATTTGACTTTTCACAATCACAACAACGACCACCACCTCCGCCATATGATGAGGCGATTTTCGATGGTAAGTTCCATTATGAATTAAATTAGTTAGTTTGTTGGTTAGTTCATTTCGTCAACTTTTATTGTTATTTTCCTCAGATAAACATATAGAGCTGGTAATATTAATAAATTACAAAATGCTTATTAGTTATTTTGCTCAGTTTTATAAGTCTTTGGCATCAACCCATTAGCGTTGAAAGTTGTCATCCGTTATGATAGTGCCTAATAAAATCTTAGCACAAATTCAGAGAGTTTTTTGTTGGTGTTTGTCAGCTTAGGCGACTGGCGTGGTAGGTGAGATTTTGGTCTAACAACTAAATGACGAGTTTACTGTGTATTCGATCACTACTTTACGGTTGCCAAATGTGGTATTTAAAAATAGAGGATATTCATAGCTTACTATTGTTTCATCATAGATATCTTTGAAGCATTGCTTGTATATTTTGGGATCACAAAATTAAAAACTCTGAGGTTAAACAGAATACTGGGTAAGGATAGTAAATCCGTTGATGAGTTAGTGAACATTTATCAACTGAAATGGTTAGGATCTGTATAACATGTGCCCATACACCAATTACATCGACGCGCTATAATGGTTCGTTGAGGACTGTTGGAAAGAAATGAATAGTGACCAAACTAAGATATAACTTGAAGTCCAGTGATTACTGAACTGACCCGTGTAGGCAGGTGGTGACAGTTCAAGTTGGCATAACCCATTAGCGCAGAATGATAAAGTTATCGGACCAAAAGAAAGAAAATTAGAGATAGTAACAGTGTTAGTGGTAATAAGAAACATTAAGCATCGAATATACGATTCAGGGAGAAAATATAAATTAGTAAAATAAAAACACAAAAAACAGTTTTGAAGAATTCGGAGGACGACAAAGTGTGGATGCACATGCACCATTGCAAACGATTTTGAGCCGTGCCATTCAAAGTCTTTAAACATGGCTTACGATAATCACACTGATCATAACCAGGTGGTCTACATCTGTTGACATGGATAAGTCTGATTGTCGATGACTTCATAGACCGATAACATGTTTTGGTTTTGGCTCCTCTAGCTTTCTTCCAGCCGATCTCTACAACAAATAACATAGCCCCATCGAGATAAGCAGTGGTTGGGCATACGTAGTACATGTTCCAACCACCTCAGTTGATGAAGATTTACTAACTCATCAATCAATTTGCCATCCTTATATTGTTCACAATTCGTCACTCAGATATTGCTTACTCTGTGGTTCTAAGTTGCACCAACAAGGCTTGAAGCCACATATGGTAGAGTAGAGTACCAGTAAGTTATGAATATCATCTGTTCTTATTTACCACTTTCTGCACCCATGAAGTAAACGGAACGAACTGCTGTGCAGTAAATTCGTCTTTTGTCGCTTATACCACGAGTGACGCTAGTTGACTCAAGATCAAGGGAGCTGGACGCCACCTCCAGACCAAGGAATACAAATATAGTCTGACGTCATGGAGTATGTCTTTTCTAGGAGCTACCGGAGGATTTTTATTCTGTCTTTATATTCACAGCCTCACTGACAACCGTATTTGTATCCGTTTTCTTGATAAGGTTGAATAGTTGTATACAGTTATCTATCTCTGCTGCCTTTTCCATCTTCTCTACTTTCGCTACTCATTACTGCTCGCGATCACTACGTAGGCTCTCGAGTAACCTACGTTGAAGCCATCTCTGCTCCTCATCGTGTTCAGAGCCAGACAGTGTGAGTTTCCTATGATCTGTCAGTTCTGTGATTTCCGCTAAATCCACTGATATTTCTTAACCTTTTGGTTTAAGTTAGTAGTAGATATTACTGTTGTCTCCATAGATTTTTGGATACCACACCAAGCCAAATCGAACAGGTACGAACGTGTGTCCCTATCTTTTCGAGAGTTTACTGTCCTATAGCACATATTCCACTATCTACTGGAATCCAGTCTAGCAAAACCTGTTCTGTTTTTATCGGTAAATGCTATACCTACACCATCAAGTTCACACTAAGCAGCAGTTAGGCCTCCAGATACTCGGAAGGTAAATTGTGCCGGTTCTTTATATTGACATGGTGAGGCCAAATGAATGAGCGTTCTTCGATCCTGTATGAACGTTTCTCCAACACAGCATACATAGATGGCACAAGGTTCTACGATCCTGGCTTAAGAAGCATGTTTTCCTATTCAACAGGGTCCAGACGTCAAAATCTACAACATGTAGTTTAGATCTTGGTTTCAGGAGACTAGGTGTAGGATTTCGTGAACCCCAGTCATTAGCATCGGTGACAGGTGGTGATAAAGATATGAGAGAAGCGTCAGTCGTGCGAATGGGATAATTACTAAGAGATGAGGGAAGGATTTGATCGTGGACAGGATGGTCTCAAGTGGTGTTAGGCATGAAGGCCGTTGTCATTCCATATCTCCCCACATCGTGGACGGATGAAGTTCTTGAGTGACCCGAAAAAGGGGTTGAATTAGTGATGGTCTTAGCAAGCCGATGGCGTGACCACAGAGCCCAAGAGACAGCTGCATGAAGATGGCCGCGCACGGCTCCTTCTATAGGAAGTTTCTGGGGTGTTAGATTCACTGTTTGTGAAATCCGAATAGCTGCAGATGCTGGTTGTCTGAGAGGACCACCTTACTGCTGTCACATCCCTCTGCAGTCAGCAGTATGTCTTCACCCTCGGACCTTAAATTCTGTAAATTTGCACTGTAATATTATCCCAGTATTTTCGGTTGGTTACTTTTCTGCTCGTTATTCAGTCGTTCATACAAGTTACGATTTTCACTTGAGAACTTCGGAAAATGTATTGTGAGACTCGTCATTGATGTATGAGTATAGAATTATGTGATTTCATGAAAGACTTTGTTCATTATAAAGGTGTTTTTCTTGTCTCGCTTTTCATGACAGTGGGTATTTTTCTAATCTTCCTTCTTATTGCTCATCTTACCACCTTAATGTTTCTGGATGAGGTGACTTAAAGTATGAGAGCTGGAAGTCATAGGCATTTGCCCGTCCTATCATGTCTTGTCTATGACTGACATATATTTTCTATCAAGTGTGGTTGTTGAAAGTTTTAGTATATAAACATACTGAACACACTTTTTCATTGTATCGTGGATTAATTTTCTTCTTCCGTCAGATCATGAAGATAATTCTACAAGACGACGTCAAGCTCCATCAGCCCCTCCAGAATACGGTTGGACATCCAATGTTATGGGTTCATCACAATCACGTTCTCGATGGAATTGGAATAAATCAAACGATCAGTCCAGTTCATGGTTATCTAATGGGTTGGCTGCAGGTGCTGGATTTCTTGGAGGTTATTTTATGGGATCTAGATCAAATACCAATCCTGGTAGTAGTTTCAGTGGTTGTTCACGAACTACTCCAATTTATACTGAAGAAGAATCATTTATTCGAAGTGGAAATAGTTTTTCAGATTCACATTATAGTTCTTCAAATACACAATTTACACATGATCGTCGTTCACGAACTCCTTCACCGGAAACTCATATATCATCGGGTAATATACTAATGCTGTTTTTATTGTTTATATATATACGTGTGTGGAGTAGTTTATTTGTTCATTTGTGTACCTATTCAATTTTTGTGTATTTTTTCTGCTCTTTTAGGTTTTGGCGGCACATCGCGTAGATAATTTTCTAACTATAGATGATCGACCACATTTACATTTATCAATTATCATTCATCGTCATCAAGATGTTCCTACAGTATTCTTCTTTGAATTAAATTGGATTCAGTTGTGTTCATTCATTATTTTCTTCTATTTTTTATTATTTCGATAATCATTCACTTGTGTTCGGTAGGGGTTTTCCCTCTCCAGATTTGAACTAATCACTTTGTTATCATTAAATTGACTTTTGTTCTGTTTATTTGTATGCAGAATGTGTATAATATTTTAAGTGGAAATTGATATGTCTTGTCGATTGAACGCTATATTCGTTTTCCTAAGCTATTCTGGTAACCCGTAAGCTAGAACTACACAGCGACTTAAACACCAGAGAGAAGACGCAAATTATGGAAGAAATACTTTACTCCAAGATTCGTTCTTGTACAAAAAACATAAGTATTTATAGATGTTAGCGTTCGTTAAATCAACATCATATCTGTTAGCGTCATATTATGCTACTGACCAATAGTAGCGCGCCACGTTGAAATTCTAGGATGCTCTATCGTGCTCTGATTGGCTAGGACTCTTCGGCTCCTTTTTGGGCCTCTGGAGGCTCCGTTGAAGTTTTCTGAAAGACGACTCAACAGAAATTACTTAGCATACTTTTCATGTTCTGGTTTATGAAATCATTCCATGATGTTATTATTAAGACCGTGTAATAAAACTGTAAAACACCGATATAGGGAATCTGTATCGATGACTCGTGGGCTATTCTAATTGGGCAAGTATGGTGTGACCTCCTAGCTTACGTCAAAACTACTTCTCGCGGCTAATACTTAACGTGGATCCTGATAAGCAGGTGAATCAGCTTTACAAGTGATTGGTTAGAATAAGTGCTCTCAATAGGCAAGATTATGTGTTAGTATTAACAGGTTACAGAAGTGCAAGACAGAATCACTGCCGTACAAACTTATTTATAGCATTCAATTAATCGCCTTTGTTGTCCTTCGCAAGGATATGCAAACTGTCGGCCACTTAGTGACCTGTCTACCGGGTGATTTGACTGGGGCCCGTTGACAACAAACTCTAGAAAATGGTACCATCATACGTTTGATGAGTCAGAATAGTTGTATAAGTCTGATCAGATGCATATATGTAGTTGTTTGTCAACATATTTTATAATGTACCTTATGCTTTTGAATTGAGATCAGATTCAGATGGCTTTCATATACCGATCTTGAAATATTTGAATTATAACGTGTTACGCTTACCATTCTCGTCATTAGATGAATATTGTATGCGGAACAGAATGTCACGAAGTTCTCACCACTTGCACATCGTCCATGAATTGTCCCTTACAAACTCCATTGTTATTCCATTCCTTTTGTTGCTTCCACTGTTCTTTGTTTTATTTCTCTTCTAACTTTCTTCTGCCAATAAGAATCTTACTTCCGATTGCCGATACATATATACCTGAGGTAAGAAATCCCTAAAATAGCCTTAAATTACCGTTCTGGATTTTAAAATACCAAAGCATGAATTATGGCAGTTTAAGATTTATCTGATATAGTTCATCGAATGTCTATAGTTGTGCATGCACGACGAATTGAACACCGGCGTGATTTTCCTGTACTTATCCAATTGTGTGAATGGAAATGTGTACTTTGTAGTTGAATTTCCATAATCAACTGATCGAATGTAATTGGTCTGCATACATAATTTGAAATTTTATGATGTTAAGTAAGGATTCAGAATTATGCTTTGAATAAATGCTTATGAATGATAACTGGTATGTTTTACGACTGACTGAGTTGTTTGCATTTGGTTTCGTTGGGATGAATGTAGAAGGTATTGTCTAACAATATGATATACGGCATCTATACTGATAAGCAATCCTTCTGTACACGAACCCAGCTGATTGTTAAGTGGAAAAATTGAGACTGATAAAGGAAATTTATTAACTTACCGTGTTGGTATGTCTGTGAAGCTACTTATTTTTTTGTATATATCCCTTGGAAAATCGGGCCACCAGTTATGTTTGTCTCCTAGGTATTGTAAACCATTTCTTGGCCAGATGAGCGCACTTATCATAAGGTCGATATTTGATTAATCCACTGAATCATATCACTTTAAGTAATCTGTTATTCGAATTGTATTCAATATAGTACTCATTAACTGTCTGAAAACATCATTATTCGGTTTGACCGCAAATTTGACAATTTTTTTTAGCTTGTTAAACTGAAGCTAGTGGAAAACGAAACAATATTGGTGTACTCAAGAATGCGAATGTGTAACCGTCTATTTAAAGGTTGTTAATGACAGTTTAACTTTATTAAAAGGTCAGTTTTAGTTTGGTGCCATTTTGTTTCTCGAATTTACTTAAGTCAACATGTAATAGTTCTCTTTGCCTTCTGTTATAAAAAAAGGATTGCGAACAAGCAGTGGCATTTGTTTATTTAAATTCTTACCTAATCACGCATTTTACTCTCGAGGATAAGGAAATATCACTGACCAGGGTTCTCTGACCTACTTGAATAAGTGGTTCGGATGATTTTGATATCTGTCTTGAATAACGGGGCACTGAGTTCTTTCGTCTTAAGCTTTGTATTTCCCTTGAGGATTTAAAGTTAGGTAATGTATCGTGATGCAGCTTGATGGTCTAAATTTGAACTTCTTCGTTCAACGATAATGTTGTCCAGATACGTAAAGGTGTTCACCTGTTCCGGAGATTCTCCATGAAGTGTCATTTAGTTGGTGTCCTTCGTGTTTGCGTCTCAGGATTTTCTTTTTTCCCTGTATATGTTGAGGCCAATTGTTTCGGAGGCTGCTGCCACACTGACTGTCTTCACCCGTGTTTGTTTGTGTGTATGGGATAGAAGATCTAGGTCATACGTGAAGTCCAAGCTGTCTAGCTATATCCGAGCTATCCATCGTATATCACGCTTTCTCTGAGATGTGGAGGTCTTCATAATCCATTCGACCATCAGAAGGAAGAGAAAGCGCGAGAGAAGGCAGCCTTGTCTGACTCCCGTTCTCACTTGAGATGCATCTACCAACTGTCCTCCCTGCATGACTTTCAGTGTAGCCCATCGTAAGAATTCTGTATGATGTTTACGATCTCCTCAGGTACACAATAATGTCGAAGAAGGTTTCATAAGGTTCTTCTATACACATTGTCGAACACTTTCTCGTAGTCAAAGAAGGCGATGTATGGTGACGAGTTCTATTCACTCGATTACTGAACCGATCCTTACGAAATCCAGCTTGCTGATCTCGAAGTTGGGTGTCTACTGAATCTTTCGTCCGGTTCAACAAAACTCTGTTGAGAGCTCTCGGCAATGATAGTAGTGTGATCTCTCTGTGACCATCGTACTTACTGTGATCTGTCGTTGGTATCTTCATGAGGTATCCTTCTCTCCAGTAGGTCGACACTTGTTCTTCTTCCTAAATCATTCCGAATAAAATGTGGAGCATCTTAACAGTTATTTCTGTGTCTGAACTCAGGCTTCATTTTCTAATAACAATCATCAGTGATAAGTATCCGAAAAAGAATTGATATTACCAGACATAATGTGAAGTAAATCACGCGACATATTAATGTAGTGTTATTCGTCCCGAATTTATTTCAGTGCAAAGTCCTAAATATTCACAACATTTATTCGAATCATGCAGTTCAGTTCTTAGCACATCGATCAGTGCTACAGTACTCGAGGTGGTGGAGGTTAAACTACAAAGTCGCAGATTCGAACCCCCTAGTTTGGACAAAAATTTTAAATGTTCAGTGATTGGTGAAAAAGTTGATGCAAATCAAATCCGATAAATTTTCACGTTATAAGAACAATTCACTAGCCCGTTAACTCAAATATTCAGCTCATATAGGAGTTCAGCTCTAGCGCGAATAGTTCAGTGGTAGCATCTTCAAAAGTGACAAAGGTTGATGTGAATTCAATTTTCCTAGTGAAAAAGAGTTCCCCTAAAGTTTTAGCCTGAGTTCTGCAGTAAAAAAGTATCACTAAACATAGGTCAATATTTTTGTAACACCTACACAAAATGCACTTAACAAATCACTATGCACTGCAATGTCAGGTTACGTAAACTAGCGATCACAGTGAAACTTTCTCAATGGAATCTCATTACGTTTAAGGACGAAATGACTTATCAGCTGGTGTCGGGTCAACATGAAAACACTCATGAATAATTATGATCGCAGTGAGTGTGGATATCTGTCAAAATATGAATAGGTAATAAGTCCTGTCTAGTATGTTAATAACGATTAAATAGCCTGGTGATTGTCGAGGTGAAACTAAAGCCAAAGTAGTACTGAACAACGGGAGAAGTAGCACCACGAAGGTTTAATAGAGCTTACCTTCGAGATACTGACAAATTCAAAGTGTCCCTAAGTAATAGGTTCTGGGCCTTACAAGATCTACTCAAAGAAAAGTAATCAACCATGAAAGGGGAACAAAGAAACAATGACTTCAACGTGTTAGGAAGTTCTGGACCGCATGATGAATGGATTTCCTCAGAAACTATGGGAAGTACTCAAGAAAGGAAGAGCAGAAAGAGAGCAATTAACAACAGCCGAGCAAGATAAGAGAAAGTCAAAGCACGGGTTAAATACACAAAAGTAAACAAGAGAGTGAAGATGAAAAATAAAGTGACAAGCAGATATACGCGTGCTTTTCGAACGGGAAGTTTACTCCTAACGTTATTTGCATTTATCAAACTTTTGCTGTGTTCTTACGCAACAAAAATACCATTTCCGATCACATGAATCTATCCTGAACTATACGTTTAGTGGATTACTTTTTTTAGTTTCACCCAATTTAATAGTTAACTGTGGTTTTGCGTCAGCTTACTATTCGTTTTTTTTTCAGTTTTTCACGTAGAGACTAGTTCAGTTTATCTCATCCGTTTTATCCATTTTTGTCCGTTTTCAGTATGTATTTTAGTGTATTTTTTACGGTCTTAGGCTTTTGCTAGCATCTTCAACACAGTTTACGTCAATACAGTCACAAAAAATTCATGCAAACGGCCTGGATGCCGTTTTGCTGTTACATCTGGCATGTAGTGCGACAACTGCAAAGGTTGGTTCCGCGAAGCGTGCACAGATCTCACAGCAACTGCTTACAACAGACTCACCAAATCGGAACATAAGTGGGAATGTGTTACGTGCAGCACGGATGCTGCAGTCTTGCTGAGTAATATCATTGTCCTACTGACAGGTCTGCAGAGTAAGTTGTCTACAAACTTGGGAAAAGACAGTCAAAAAATGGGTAGACAAACAAGAAAGCGCATTGAAAACGAGAACAGGAATGTCGACAGGTCTACCAACGACGGAGCATGCAACAGCATTAATGATGACACGCTGAAACTTAGCACCATGATTACGTCGACGGCACTCGACTCCTTCAGTAGACTCGGGTCTCACAGCTCAAGTTCTTTGAACGCGAAAGTGCTTCACAAAAACCCTGTAGGTGATTGGACCCATGTCAAGAGAGCTAAAAAGTACCAGGCGTCACCGTCTAAGTTGAACATCCCAAGTGTTGCACGGAAATCAACCGGTGATTTGGTCGCACAGCCTACCCCAAGAATGTTCGTCCGGTCATCAAAGGGCCTAGGATTCATAAACGTGCTTCGACCTCCAAACAACAAGGTGCTAAACCTGAACACACCGGAAAACCTGGGACGACAATAACGGTTCGTCATGATTCTCTCATCATGAACCTCAAAGAAAACCCTGAACTTCCTCTCAGTTTGCAGGACAAAGATGACAGGATGCTCTGGGGAGAATTAAAGAAACTTGAACTTCCAAGAATAGAGCCTTTGACGGTCACACGGTTCGCTCGTGGAAAGGAATCTAAGCACAAAAATCACCCGAGGCTACTTCGTGTAGCACTCAAGAATGCTACCGACGTAAAGGATGTCTTGCTAGCGAGTCAGTTACTGAAATCAGATGGGAATGTAAGAATACTGCCTGACATACCATATTTTGAGCGCAATCTCATCTGGAACATCCCCAAAGAATCTCGCGGGAAGTTTTTCCGTGGAAGGAATATAATTGTGCAAGGCGTACCAAAAAACACGGTCCCTAATCAAGCAAACTCCGATATCAGAGAATGGAAATTCATCAAACAGTCCTTGAGGCTCAAAAATATACTGACTCAACACGTGACGGGACTAGCCAAGAAGGAGGGTGATTCCAGATCCCGGCTAATGAAGATAACTTTCCCATCCTCCCACATGGTGGCTTCAACTCTGTTGGCCTTTCGTGCCAACGGACGTCGGTTGCCAGCTGGAATCCACATGCACCTGGATAGGCCATATGAAGCTAGGACCAAGCACACAAGCAAGTTGGAGCTGACCCTTCCACTTATGATTAACACGCTTGAAATGAAAATTTGGGTGAAGATTGTTTGAACTATAAAGAATGGCATAACAATAATAATAATAATACAACGATGCGTGCTAATAGCCGTTGGTTAATAACTTAACGTATAGGTAGTAAGTATTTTGTGTTTAGAAGTATTAAAGTAATGAATGTTGTAAAAATATTAATATTGGTATTAGTTTTGGTTTAAACTATGAAATCAAATAACGATTATGCCGGTAAGTTGTCCATATGAGTTGAATTCCAATTGCATCTGTATTAGTAGGCTAACTGAAGGAACGAAAGTATACCGTGGAGAAGAATTCCAACTAGTGTTCCAGTTAGTTTGATACGGTTATTTAGTTACGGGGAGATTTTCTCAACCTCGTTTTTACTTGACCGTGATAGAATTTAGTAATACTACTAATACACATGAATGGTTATCAAAATAAAATTTAAATACGTGAGTGATGATTATATGAATTTTGGACAGATAGCTAGGAAAAATCGTTAAACATGAGTGTACTCGTAAAAGACATGCTCTAGACTCAATGTTCTGATCTGCGGCAGACTATTTATTTATATTTATACTTGCTGGCTGATTGGGCATACAAGTTAGTTGCAAGTATGCAGTTTATCATAAGGCGGAATACGATTTAATTGAGATATAGTGGTTATAAGTTATTAAAATCAGTTAGGCCTGTGTCATATTACGAAGTGATGTGGTGCTGCAAGATGTATTATGCTAAATAAGTTTTTACAAGATGATTAATAGTGAGTGATGCTCATGTGATTATCAGGGAGAACATAAGTTGTAACCAGGGGGAGTACACTCCCAACTCATGTCTATGATAAGGGCTTGAACCTTAGTCAGTGTTGAGGTAAATTCGACATTAATGTTTTCAGTTTGCGGGAGATTTGCTCGACTGCTTATACTGATTATTTGCATGCATGATTGTGTCGCTAAACCATCAATTAGACTGACAAGGTTTTGAGATATTTACTGAATGAGCAACTGATAGAGAAACATACTGTAATCATCTGTAGTGAATGAAGATAAAAGAAAAACAACACTAGTGATAATTATAAGTCAATTTGTTGACCGATTTTGTTAATAGTTTCATTAATTTTATCAATCATATTACGTGATCGTCAAGTCATGACAATGCTTTATGACGATATCCTGAAACTATTAAATTTAACTAGTTATAGTGTTGATTGAGGATTAGTCAGTGGAAAAATAGGTATTGTTGCTCTAGGTGATTCGAAATTATTAGAAATTTATAACGCTAAAGAATCCGAGACGCCTAATTATATTATAATTTTCAATTCAGAAATATTCGTTTAGTGGTAATTTTAGTAGGCTACGGAGTTTTGATTTTAAACGTTTGTTTAGTCAACAGCTACCTGGGGATTTAGTTATTTGACTAGTGCCGTTGATAGTACCTAAATTTGTAATTTATCTAAACTGTGTCTGCATTTTAGGCTGCTACTATGATAAACCAATCCATAAAGCCAAATACGATTAGCAACAACGACTATGATGGGTTTATTTATACACGTTAAAGGCGATTCAGATGATTTCTAAACTTAGAAGACATGAAGATATACTGTAACGTATGTACGGGCCAGGTTAACATGCAGGTTATTGACGTATATGACAATTTGAAAATAATTAACATGATCAGAAAGATAATTTTAAAGTTAAGACTGCTTGTGAAACTTCAGGCAGGAATATGACGCTAAGTAAAATAGTTGAACTTGCCTGGATTATTTTTGAAAATTAGATTATTCAGTGGACGACATATATAACGCCATTCGTGAGGAGTAGAAATGTTCCAAAAGTATCCAGAATAAACATGCAGTATGTCAATCACTTCCAGGGTGCTTGATGCTGTTGAGGTTTTTGGGACTCGCTCTGATCAGAACAACTGAATGAATCCAGATAATTGTGTGTGCCATCTAAAATGAACTTATGATTGCAGGAAACTTATAGCTGGAACTCCCCGTATTTTTTGGAGATGTGTCATCCTTGTTGTTTGGCAATGGAACTCGAAAATATGAAATTAGGCAGGCAGTGGTCAGAAGAAAAGATATTACAGGATAGTGCATAGTTTAAAACAGGATGAGGTGTTAGGTGAAGGAACACTGATAATTAGATCCCGATAACTATTTAGTCCTTGATTGCATTGTTAGTCAATGTATACTTACGCTATTTGCAGGTCATATATGCTAGAGCTTGATGTTTAAACAATTCTATGTTGCTGAAGCATGTAAATGCTATTAAAGCTTGTTAACGAACCATCAAAGCTAATTAGTTGATATAGATGATCAACTTTTATTATGGATTGAGCTAGTAAGTTATGTGAACTAATAGATATAACATTACGATAATATATGTGACCATTAATCAAAGGACTATTAGAATAGTGGGTTTACAAAAATAAAATCCGATTGAGAAGGTTGAGGTGGAAATAAGGATTAACAATAATCGGTTGCGTTTCTTTAGTTGGGCTCACCAATGTAGAACTATGGTCTACTATGATATTAGTGCTGCTCTAATAATAGACCTAATCCTAAATTTGTAGATTTGTCATGATATAACTTCCTAATCTATAAGATCTTACGTGGAAGTCACACCATCGACTACGCCAACTCACTGTATCGTACCAATTAACAACACATGATGTAGAGCAAGGTTAGGCTAGAGAAAGAACAATATATTTAATATGAATAGAAGAAATAGGATAACATTCAGCATGGACCACGCCTGCACGGCAGAGCCATGCCGTTTGATCAACTCTAATTCACTCAAGTCATTGTTCGCGCCTTCTCCATTGTTAGGTATTTCCCCGAGTTAAATATTGAATACCTATTTTCTGAGTAGTCTCGTGTTCACAGCTTTGTGGATTGTGTGGCTATTGTCCAATGCCACTACAGGCTCATACAGACAAACAGGAAGAAGCTCACGCGTCTCAAATTGAAAGCATAAACTACTTATACATGAACGCCGCGAGTCTACTAAACAAAATGGATGAGCTACGTGAACTTAGCAATACTAATAAGGCTCATTTGATAGGAATAACTGAAACTTGGATATCTTCTCAGTTCTCGGACCACGAGTTAGCAGTACCTGGGATGTCTTTGTTTCGCAGCGACAGAAAATCAGCAATTAGGGGTGGAGTAGCCGTGTACATACGACCTTGCTTGGAGGAACACCACGTTCATAACCTCGAGTTCAACAAACGTGAGG